GCTACAATCATATGCATGCTCTGATGCTGTTTTAAGTCATCTTTATTTTGTGAACTATCCAATTTAATCATAATATCTCAGTTCTAGTGTGTCCTGTAAATGTTTTTGGGTATCCATGAATAATATTCCTAATTTTTGCCTCACTTTTAGGAGGCAAGATCAAATTTTAAGCGTTTACAACTAAATTTTTTGCAAAATCATCTTACCTATTTAGAAGGGCAGAAACCAGAAATACAGAATGTTCAAGCTGGTTGAATAAAAACTAAGTATCAGATATTTAGTTTTCCAACAAAAGGTAATAAATAGTATGTTGCATATTTACTAGACATTTCATAGGATGCACATGTGTGCCCTTTTCTGTTGTTATATTTGTAGGATCCAATATTAAAATTATTTCTGAGCGCCTAGGTGGCGAGTCAGTTAAGTGTCTGCCTTAGGCTCACGTCATGATCCCTGGGTGCCGGGATCGAGTCCCACGTCAGGCTCCCTGCTCTGCTGTTTTCTCTCTCTCTCTGCTTCTCTGTCCTCTGTCAAATAAATAAATAAAATCATTTTAAAAATAAAATAGAATAAAATTATTTCAAGTAAATGCTACACATACTCAGAAAAGTTCAGCAGATAGATTGCCCATCAAGCATCCAGAAATATATACGTTAAGTTAAATGCTTAAATAATTACATCTTCATTTTCTGAACTTTATAAGTTGTAAAAATTCTTTCACATAGTTGCGCTGGCCACATTCATTGCAATTTAGAGCTTCTGGATAGGAAAAAAATAGATCATACTGGGCCACTCTTTATAGCCCCCAATTTTTTGTTGAAATCTCCTATTGTTATTAAATAAAGTTATCATTGCTTGTTATTTTCAAACCTCAAACACCTCTCATCATATTAATAAATTTAAATAACGCTGGATATTAAGGGGATAAATAATATATCCACTTTCTCCTGGAACTTATAACCAATGGAGAAAGACAGATAGCAAATGCAGATCTTAACTTTACTAGTAGATATGATTGATGTAATTCCTAAATTTCAGAGCTCCCTACTCAAGCTGGATCTTCCCCTCTCTACAGGATGAGTGTGAGTCTTGCTTGAAGACAAAGAGGCAAGAAAGAGTATAGCACCTTTGACTTCCCCTGCAGTGGGTATCAAAGGGACAGTGGACCATGTCTCCCACGGGGAGTCAAAATGGCCGGCTCTGGCGGGGGCGGGGGGGCGGTGTACATAGCCCATGCCCATCAGTCTTTCTAGCATCTTCCTTCAGGAACATAGAGACACACAGAAAACCCTTCCATCAATTCCCTAAAAGTAAACATGGAGAGAGAAAGAAAGTGATTATCCCTTCTCCTCCGTAACCATCTTCCCCCAAATTTTCATCGTAATATTTGTACATAGGAACGCATGCCTAAAAGTGTAGACATCAGTAATGCTAAATACATTGTCTTCTTGTCAAAATCCCTTATCATCATTAACAAGGTATGTTCATGTAAGATATTTTTCAGGCATGAACTTTTTGGTTCTTTTTTTTTTTTTAATGACCAACATTTTAATAAAGTAAAAATGCTTTTAGCCGTATAAAAGATTAATCCGTATATCCAAACTGATGTTTTGAGTAGAAATATTTCAGATAAATGTAGACTGAGATCTAAATACAACTCTATATCAATCTATCAATCTACATCTTATATATGTACAATAAATAGTTTATCTTTGTGACAAATACAATATTAGGTTTTAAAATACATGAATGAGTATAAAGATAGAATTATATATGCTAAATTACTTCTAAATTCTTAACAGCTTTAAATATTGTTAATTATTTTGAAAAGAATCTAGTTTTATTTTCTCTGTGGAATGGAAAGGGCTAGGATTGAGCAAGTTATAGGCCAATATAATATACATCTTACTGGCTTTGATGCTGGTGCTACTTAGGTATATTAAATTATGAGACATGAAGATGAAAGGGACCCTAGAAATGACCTTATCCAATCTTATTTTACAGATGAGTTAAGTGGGAGAAAGAATACTAGACTCTCTTCAGTCACAGACGATCTTAGCAGTAGAATTAGGGTTAGAACATGAGATTTTTATTTTCAGGTCAGTGTTATCTGTGCCGTGCTCTGCTTATATTTTAGGATAAGATTATAATAAAATGTTTTTAGCAGTTGTTGATCTGAGTATACATTGTAGTTCAATATGTAAATAATACTTAGATGCATTTTTTTCCCCAATTGATTACAATTAATTAAGAACCCATCGGGGGACATAATTTTTTGATGCCATTCCATCTGGAATTCCTTTGTGAATTAATTATACTATTTTGTACTTCAGTGAACTCTAATCCATATTTCATAAATCCATATTTCATTGAAAAACATCAAAAGAATAAATGCTAGATAAATCCACTATCATCCAAACAAATACTTTTTTTTGAAGATTTTATTTATTTATTTATTTTAGAGAGAGAGAGAGAGAAAGAGAGTGGGGTGGGGAGAGGGACAAGCAGACTCCCCATTGAGTGTGGAGCCTGACTTGGAGCTTGATCTCAAGACCCTAAGATCATGACCTGAGCTGAAATCAAGAGTCCCATGCTCAACCAACTGAGCTACCCAGGCACCCCAATGCTTTTAAAAGTTAATTCCAGTCCTTGGATATTATGACTTTCATTATAAATTTATTTTGTATGTTGACACTTTGCCCAAATTTTTACAGGTAAAACAATGGAGAAGTTTGAAGCAATAATTCAGAAAATTCATGTCTGATCTAAGTAACTATGAAAACTGTAGTACAACATCTCTTATGATAGAGTGTTTTCCATTTTTGATACTGTATTTAACATTGATTACTCACTGATTAAAATGGCATTATGTAATATTTTGCCACATTTAATTGGCAGATGATATTCTGGATAACTAAGAGAAGTGTGTCTTGCTATAGCTCCTTAAGAAGATGTGGCCACTGTCACCATAGAATTTAGATAATTCTCATTTTATATAACTTTATAAGTTTATTTTAATGTAATTCTAGATGAGTGTATGTAAGATGACTTTGTTTTCCTAATTTAAAACAACTTCGGAGTAACTAACAAATTTCTGTTGAAGGTGGCTGCCATGGCCTCATGGGATGAAAGTGTCTCTGGAAGAGTTCATCTATTATTTTGATTTTTGCCTGTTTTATTTAAAATCACTAAAATAATTTCTCTTCCCTTAAATACATTGTTATCTTAAATAAATATATGAATCCCACCATCCTTGTGGAAAATTAAGCCTCTCACTGTTGTAGTCAAGCAGTCTCATGCATTTGCTTGAAAGCTTATAACTTAAGGCCATCAACCCTAATGTAGGTGAGTCTTGCTTAGCTCCATACAACCTGGTAGAGGAGAAAGTCCCCAAAGAATGATAAAATAAGGGAGACTATGAAAAACAGGAAAACAATGATCAGTAGAAAAACATCTATGCCATTTCCTGTAGGGAGCTCCATGTGAATTTGAGTAATTATAAAATTGGCACTTACTTTTTCATGTAAGTTCTTAGCTTCTAAAATATACTACTGTCTAGTCAAAATTTGAACAATTTTTTAGATAGCTAGAATAATATTTAAATAACTTAGGAAGTAATGTCATGATACAAACTACAAACTTCAATTAAAACCATTCCATATAAGAGAAAAATACTTCACTAAATTATATTTTTACTAGGGAAAAAAAAATTTTTAATTTTTTTATTGTTATGTTAATCATCATACATTACATCATTAGTTTTTGATGTAGGGAAATTTTTTTTTTTAAGATTTTATTTATTTGAGAGAGAGAATGAGATAGAGAGAGAGCATGAGAGGGGAGAGGGTCAGAGGGAGAAGCAGACTCCCTGCTGAGCAGGGAGCCCGATGCGGGACTCGATCCCGGGACTCCAGGATCATGACCTGAGCCGAAGGCAGTCGCTTAACCAACTGAGCCACCCAGGCGCCCCGATGTAGGGAAAAATTTTGAATGCAGTTTTTTTTTATACTGATTTACAAGAATTGTAAATATTCTCTATTTTGAGTTTTCATACCTTGAAACTTGTTATAAAATAGATTACCATTTTAGGTTGATTTATTATTGGCAGGTCCACAAATGCTTGGCTTCATTTCCCCATACAGCTTTAGAGATGAAAATATCAAGCTATATGGTAACTAATATAAATATTTATTAAATCTAAGGCTCATTCAAATTTTGTCCCATAGTTTCTCAATTAAAGAAGGGTTATTATACATCAATAACACCCTTATCAATTTAAACACCTTCCTTTTTTGAGAACAATTACTATTTTTCTTAATTTATTAATTGAACCATAATATGCTATATTTTCATAGAAGTTGTATGTAGCATAGTCAAATTATTCTTTATCATAATTCGTTTCTAGTTCATAACCCACTAAAATTTAATTCTCATATTATTATTATTACTACCAAAGATTAAAATGCTATAACATATGAAGGCTCCTTGGGAATTACTATACTACAATATAGTTTGACCTTTAAAAATTGCAGTGTAGCATTAGACATTATTGATTTTGGTAAATGAATTTGAATAAATAATTTGATATTAGTTTTTAAGATATATTAATAGCATGGCTCCTCATTGCTAGGCAGATGACCTCTAGGATGACCTCTAGGAAAATCAGTTGACTTGGGTGGGTTAAAAATTCAGTAGTCAGTATGAGTTGTCTCCAAGTTACATCTAGATGTGGTATTTTTGTTAGCCTATCCTTTACTAAAACTGTTGTTTGGACTTGGGATTTGGATGACACTGTAAAAACAGTGATGTTTTCTGTGATATAATCATATCACATTATAGAACTTTTAATATCAATGGTCTAAATTTGCTTTCTTTAGTTAAAATAGTCTAAGGAACCAGAATCGAAAGAACTTTAGGAAATAGTAGTACCATTTCTTCCTCTTACTTTTGTCAGTTACTAGCAAAACTGGTAAAGCTGAAGGTTTTTTTCCCCTTCACAGGTTTGGGATGAAAATCTTGCAAAATCTGCAGAGGCTTGGGCAGCTACTTGCATTTGGGACCATGGACCTTCTTATTTACTGAGGTTTTTGGGCCAAAATCTATCTGTACGAACTGGAAGGTAGGAAGCAGTTTCACTGATACTGTTCATCCACACACTTTATTACTTATGGATCCCAAGGGGGAGTGACACAATGTTCAATTAATATCAGCAAATATTATTGAGTACTCACTTATGTGTCAGGCAATGATGCTTGGCCTGTGACTGTTTCAGATGTCTTCAAGGATTATTTAATTGGTTAAAAGGTCCTAATAAGACCAGTTTCCCCTTTCACCCTTGGAACACCCTCTCTTAGCCTGTATTCTTCACTTACCTCATAGAATCTTTGAAAGGATTCTCCCACCTCAGGGAAATTTTTTCAATGTGGCAGAAGCCATTTTTGTGTTTATGCAACTTTCCCATGATTACATATATCTCTATTTATATATGTCTCTGTGTGTTATATATTTACATATATATGTACACACACATACACACACACACATATATATGCAAAGTATGTACAACTATGGGAAAGGCCCTTTCCAGTGATAGGATAATTTTTCCACCACTGAGGAATGTCATCATCCAACATTCCAAAGACCCATTCTCTTCCATATACAGGAGAAAAATCAGGTGTGCCTGATTTTCCTATTAAAATTAAAATGATTCAAGTTTAAGGGAAAAAACACACTGAGTTCTAGTATCACAACTACAATTTATATATCTAATTTTTAATTGTGTACATGATTCTGGTGGAGAAATTTTTGACAAGATAAAACAAGATAAAGATGAAGATTCCTGAAATATTTGTAATTCTCTTTTTGAAACAACCAGACATATACTTAAACGAATATAGACTCACTTGCTTTAGTCCCGGGCATTTTCATGCTTGGCCCTACTTGGAGGAATAGGTGATGATGGTAATTGTGAGGTATGGATTTGCTCTTGAGTCATCATGAATAATCTGCAAAAAGAACTATTGACTTACAACTTAACATGAGTCCACTATAAATTACCACTGCTGTACTCTAAGTTCTCATTGTTTTTCTTGGTATCCAGATATCGCTCTATTCTCCAGCTGGTCAAGCCATGGTATGATGAAGTGAAAGATTATGCTTTTCCATACCCTCAGGATTGCAACCCCAGATGTCCTATGAGATGTTTTGGCCCCATGTGCACACATTATACGCAGGTTATTTCAATTCTCTTGTTAATTTTTGATTCATAGTTTTAAAAATGCTCTTACTATTTTGGGGAATATGCATTTTCTTATCTTTAACTTCAATAATGAGGTATTGGTTTATTTTTGCAGATGGTTTGGGCCACCTCCAACCGGATAGGATGTGCAATTCATACTTGCCAAAACATGAATGTCTGGGGAGCTGTGTGGCGACGTGCAGTTTACCTGGTATGCAACTATGCCCCAAAGTAAGTACTAGGCTGGGTTCTACTTCCTGGAACCTCTAATGATATTAAATATCTCCAGTCTGTTAGTTATTTTAATGTGAATAAGATTTAATTACAATAGCCTCTAATCCTCAAATCTCCCATGACCTCATATACCTGAAAAATAATGAGATGAATAGTTATTTTTCACAAAGACAGATATTTTGGGCTAAAATTGTGGGCAAAACAATCTGAGATATGGAGATTCACTAAATTCCCTTCACCTATTTTTAGTCATGATAATTGCAAAATAAACACTGTACTTTCAGGCTTTTGATAGTTCTATAAACGTTATCAGAAAAGAATCTTGTAGGGAATGTTTCAACACTGCAATATTCTCATCCATCAGTACTAGAATGTTGGCTTATTTTTTTCACCAGGAAAGCAAAACACAGTCCTTCTTCCTTTCTTTTAAGAGTAAAACTAAAAATTATAGTTTACTAATTTTATAGATGGTTAAGGAGTCATTCATTGCCAGAAGCGAAAATTTAAATGCTGTGACTTCCTTTTAAATTAAAGCTTTGCCATGATTTAAGTTTCAGTATTGAAAATTTAAAATTTTCTTATTAGGGGCGCCTGGGTGGCTCAATTGATTTAGAGTCCCCCTCTCTTGATTTCGGCTCAGGTCATGATCTCAGGGTGGGACTCTGCTCGGCAGTGAGTCTGAGATTAGCTCTGTCCCTCTACTTCTGCCCCCCCCCCGCCACAGTCGCGCTTTCTCTCTCTCTGTCTCTATCTCAAATAAATAAATCTTTAAAAAAAATAAAAATAAAACAAAATTTTTTCACTAGTTCCATTTTATGGCATATATATTGTGAAAATTGATCAAAGACTATAAAATATAGCCATATTTATAAATATTCTTTATAAGATGAATATAAATAAGCATTTGTTAACATTTGATAAAATGCCTTCCTGATAACAGTAACTCTGGAGATGATAAAATGTTCCAATATTTATACATGAGTCTGTTCCCATTTGGAGCAAATAGCAAAATGTGCAAAGGATTTATGACACTATTGGTGTCTTCCAAAGTAAGTCCCAAACAAAGATTTTCTCCAGCTTTGCCAATATGGAGAGGGAATGAGAAAATGTTTCACAAATAACTGCATTACTCATTTATATGGTAGTATGCCAGTGGCAGTGTTTTTGCAAAGTTAGAAAGATAGCAATTTTCCCCATGGTCCCCCTTCATAATTATTAGAATAATAAGGTTTGGAAAGTAGAATGTGTCTGCATTACAAAAAGCATTAAAAGTGTGCATTTGTTTGATATTTTCAGTTTCACACTTTATATTTTCCTATTAAGCCTTTACCCTTCTTCCTGACATAAATAGGCCAAGTAGTACTCAGAGGGTGAAAGAGATTTTTATTTCATTTGTTTTTAAACACTGATTCAAATTTTCTAATATTACTGATGAGATACCTGATTGCTTTATATGAAAGATTAAGATATTGTGTTAATATACTTTATTTCCTCTAAAAAAGAACCATTATTTTGAAACCTAGGCAATGAAAAAGGTTTTGAAATCTTGACTGACATTTGAGTGTGAATTTTCCAATGCCCATATAAAATTATCTCAAGCCTGTTTTTTAGGGAGAAAAAAGAGAGAGGTGGAGAGAGGGAGGGAGGGAGGGAGAATTTAATTAGATAGAATAGAACAAAAAATGGAAGGATGAATAATATAAGTTTAGTAGTTGACTGATTTACTTTTGAATGTAATGATCCTCTATTTTGTAAAAATCTGTGATTTATGTAAAAGTTTATAATGTAATATGTAATACATTTTATGTATAATAAAATTGTACTTCTAAGTTTATGTTACCAAAAATATGTGCTGTGTAATTTCAAAAGACTATGTGGAATAAATAGAAAAATATGAAATTAAAATAGCATAGGCTGGGCCCATATACACTTATAGCTTTGGATAAAGATATAGAGGGAAATAAGATTATTAATATAGAATAGGAGAGATTAGGATAAAGGAGTGAGCTACACTCACAAGAGAATGGGCCTCCTGGAGTGTTTTGGAGTAAGCATGTGTCATTATCCAAATTATACCCGAGAAAGCTTATCCAGGGGGCAGAGTATAGAATGAACTGAATAGAGATGGATGCTCTTGGAATCTGATGACATTTTGTAATACGAATCTCTAATCAGCATGTTTTTCATTTTTATAGATAAACTTTCCTCTATAAATATTTTATAGATCAGAGCCTGAATTTTTATAAAGATTTTACTTATGTATTTTTTTTTAATTTATTTGAGAGAGAGAGAACAAGCAGGGGGAGCTGCAGAGGGAGAGGGAGAAGCAGGCTTCCCGCTGAGCAAGAAGCCCGATGTGGGACTTGATCCCAGGACCCTGGGATCATGACTTCAGCTGAAGGTAGATGCTTAATCGATTGAGCCACCCAGGCGCCCCAAAACCTGAATTTTTAACTGACTGATTTAAGCAGATATTTTACGTAGATACACTTTAAGAGTCACTTCTTGGGCTTTTTCAGGTCTTAAAGAAGATGAGAACCACCTGTTTCATATTTTAGCCTCTTACCTACTGTTGGCTTATTTTCAACCCTGACTTTTTACTATTGACAATCAAATTTCCTCCTGACCATTCAATTTCCTTCAAAATGCTGGCTGTGTTGCTATTTCTTAATACCAATCACCATGCTATTGAAAATACATCTATTACCTTCTCCCTCATAATTGAACAGTAAGGCATTGTGGCTATTTCCAACTATTGTAAATGATGAATTTGATGTATTATTATGATCATGGCCATCAATACAGATAAAAATATTGACAACACAAAATAATTTAGTTTATTGTGTTTAGCATTATCAAAAAACAAATAGTATTACTAAAAACAAAAGCTATGAGTTTACACATAGGTAAAGGTTTTGAAATCACCTTTGTTTCCCTTTGTTTCACCTTTGTTTCTCTTACCATGACAACTTATGGCAACTTCTTCCTTATTTCATCATTTGTAAGCCTCCTAGAAAATACTAAATTCATGTAAATATTACCATCCTTAGCATTAGCAGGAGTTTTAAAAATGGGAATGTGTCCTGCCAACGTAGTCTAGAAGGCATTTATAGGGCAGAGACAGATGCGGTGACGGAATGAGCATCAAGCCTGGCATCAGATGACTAATTCTGTCACCATTCATTGTAGTGCTTCACATCTTATCTGTAAATTAAGGTAATACTAACTGTTGCAGAGAGAAATATTTAAAAAGTAAGATATATAAAATAATAAGTTACTGTATAAATAAGAAGTGGAGGGGTGCTTGGGTGGCTCAGTGGGTTAAGCGTCTGTCTTCAGCTCAGGTCATGATCTCAGGGTCCTGGGATCCAGCCTGGGGCTCCCTGCTCCATAGGGAGTCTACTTCTCCCTCTCCCTCTGTGCACCTCGCGCGCCAACTCATGCTCTCTCACACGGTCTCTCTCTCAAATAAATAAAATCTTAAGAAACAGAAAAAAATGGATATAATTTTCCATGCCTTTCTAAACTGACAAACTTCTCAAAAAGATCATTACATGTCAATCCAAGTGGTCATGTGCTTAAGGACAATCGAATTTCTTTAAATGGGCATTAACGTAACATTAATTTTATCTTTGTACTTTTTTTTCTTCTTTCTAGGGGCAATTGGATTGGAGAAGCACCCTATAAAGTAGGGGTACCATGTTCAGCTTGCCCTCCAAGTTACGGAGGATCTTGTACTGACAATCTTTGTTTTCCAGGAGTAACGTCAAACTACCTATACTGGTTTAAATAAGCTTATCTTTTCCTCCAGGAAATAGAATGGTTTCTGGGAATCATAGGCATATATATATATTGAGTTTTGCACATATTATACATATTTTATAATAATCTTGTTTTCCTTTTATTATTCATTGTATAAATTAGTGTTTGTCTAGTATGTTTGTTTCATCTTTGAGGTAATCAAAACATCCATTTCTATCTTCTGACCTCTAAGCCCAAGTTAAAATGTCGTCTATGTAGTATTGACATAGTTGATGCATCCAATTCTAAAACTTGCTTCCCAAAGGAATTATGTTACACTTGTGAGGAATCAAATATATATTTGACCTATAATTTATGTGTGTGTATGTAGATACATATACACATATGTGTATGTATATATACATGCACAAACATATAATAGATGATGTAACACAGAGAATAATGTGATTCAGTAGTTAACTTGAGGGAAATTTAAAAATATACTATTCTGAAATATATATGAGGTGGTGGGACATCTTCAGCACCCATTTCTATAATATCTACAAAGTGATAATTTGCGAAAAAACACTCAGTGATGTCTGGACATAATAATTTAATTAAGCCACCAAGGATTTCATTCTGGAGGTATTTTGTCTTATTTGGGTTCACCAAAGGATATGCGCAACTTATGTAAGATTCAAGTCATACCTTTTGCTTAATCTCTTTTATTGAATTAGTAGTCATGTGTTGAGTGCTTACTATATACAAGGCACTCTGCAAGTTATGTTCTGATAATGCAAAGATGTGAGATACGGTTCCTGCCTTCAAGAAGCTCACAAAAATATTCAGGAAATAATGCAGTTTAAGATTTTGCTGCAAAATTACAGTTTTTTAACAAATTGATTTTAATGTAAGTTTGAGTAAATAGATGCCACAGTGGTCACCTATAGGTGAAATAGGTGATGAGGACACTGTGTGATACACAAGGCTTCTGATTAGCATGAAAATGTAGGGACACCACTTGGAAGTAAAAGAGGCAGAAAAGAATTAACTGCCCAGGGATTACTGTATTAGAGTAAATAGTTGTGAGTTTGGAAGGCAGACAGCAAGACGCTAAAAAACCTGACAAGGCCCAGGAGAACTAAGATTTAGGAGAGAGGTATGTAAAGTCACAGAAATAGGGTTACTGCCCAAAAAATTACAGGTGAGAGCTTCAGAAGGGCCTATCCTGAGAGTCTAGTATATCTTGAGGCCTGTCAGCAGAGGGTGAAGAATGCCAAAAGAAACATGTGAGATGCCAAGGACACTTCCATCTCTTCACATCATTATTTGGTGAGCATCCATCCAATCGTAATGAGCCTCTAAGCATCACGTTAAAGATTCTGTATGCACACCACAGTTAGGTTTTGGCAAAGTGGCGCTCTTCAGATGATTTGCTAAGGACTAATTAGCAAATCTTATTTCCATGTCTATGTAGAAGAATAATTTTCAGTTCTCCATTAAGTTTGATTGTGGAAGTCAAATCAAAGTCACTATGAAAATTTCACTCATGTGTTTTGGAAATGCAATGTTTCCTCCTTCAGGAATTCGCTATTAGAGAGGAAAATTCAACATCTGGGTCAAGACACTTATATTATGTTGTGTGTGTGTGTGTGTGTGAGAGAGAGAGAGAGAGAGAGAGAGAGAGAGAGAATGAGAGAGATTATGAAAGAGAGAGAGATGAGAGAGAGAGAATGAGATTATGAGAGAGAGAGAGAGAGAATGAAAGAGAGATTATGAGAGAAAGAGAATGAAAGAGAGAGAGTGTTCACAAGTTATGTAATGCTTCCATAGAATTACAGAATAAGCAAACAGGGTTAGTTCCAGAGTGCAAATAACAGAAGGAAGCTACTTGTTTAAAATTCTGTACACATTTGCAATTTCTTAGGGCGGATGCACTGAAAGATGACAGTTAATTAAATCCAGTCAATGAGGGAAAAATCCACCATCTGGAGTTTAGGTTTACATGATGACAAACAATTGGCCTAATTCCTTTTACAAATTGAATGTGGTGACCAAATGTTTTGATATCATACTACTCTGCTCTTGTGGGCACATATACAGACTGTATGAAAAATAAATATTTTTGGATACTAAACTGAAGAACAGAAGTAGTTGTTAGATTTGGGCCCCAGTCTAACTTTTATCTAACTATGGGCAATTGAAGAGAAAGCTAATTAGTGGGATGTTTTCTTGATTTCTCTAGAAAGTATTTCCAACTTTCATTTTCCTAGACTTGTTCTATAGAAGTAGCAAAAGTACTATTAAACAAACATGACTGTTCTCAGTTCCAGTCCTGTTGCTGGCTTGCTTGTGCGGGTTGGTTTCTCAGTTCTGAAAAAGAATAATGATATTTGCTACATATTTCACAGAGGATCCTCTGAGGCTAAAGTTACCATACTAATAGCAATTTATGAATATTAAAAGCAACATTAATGTTGTGAGACTTATTTGGGAAAAAATTAAGTTTTATGAGCTTCTCTTTGGCAGAAACTGTCTGATTCTTTGTATTCATCCCAGCTTTTTATAGAGTGGTTATAATGCAGTGTTTAATAAACGTGTCTCTGAATATATTTTTAGAATTAACTAAAAAACCTAGAATTGCAACAATTTAGAGGAGTCCCACTTTTCCATGTTTTATTAAGACAAAAAAATTTCTTAAATAAAAAGCTCTGGATGCATCAAAAATCCAGATACATCATCAAACATACCAGATTAAGACTAGGATCTAGGCATGAATAACTGACACCACAGTCCTTTCCAAATCACTAGAGCTATACATTTATTTATAACTTAACAACTCAGCTGAAAATATAACGGGTATTTTTTGTTATGCTATGTGTACTTTTTAAATTTAGTAATATGAGGTAGACATGTGAACTCTTTCATTTTCCAGGCTAAAGCAAATGAAAATTTGCTGATATCAACAGTGTGTCCTGTTTTTCACAGCATTCAACCATGGTGCTAGGATAGCTACTTCTCACTGTAATTCCCAGGGGCAGAAAGAGTCTGGGTATCAGATACTTCTTAAGAGCAGCTTTAAATAGTCAATATTGAGATATTCATTTCAAAACATATCATTCAAAAGAAAAAGTAGTCTCTATATTCTCCATATTCCACAGTACTGATCCTCTCTCTATGGCATGGAGTTTTCAGTAAAAAAGTAAAACACTTCCATCACAATACAGTTTTGTTTTGTTTGATTTTGGCTTCCATGTCATCAGAAGACTGGAAAAATGACAATTTTAGCTGTTAAACTGATGGATTTCTTTATAGAATTGTATTTAAGTTGTGTGGGCACAGTCTTAATGTTGCTGGTTATGACAGATAAGCTTGTTTTTAAAATGTGGTGGAAACAATTTTTATTAGTACCATTTTTGCTTCTGTTCGGTAGCCTAAGCATCGTGATTTCTGTGGTTCGTCAGGGTTTGCCCTACCAGCTTCATTTGGCAGCGCCATAACGTTTACTTGAAACCTTTGTGGAAACAGTCATTCGAAAGCTCCGTGCAACTCTAGCAAAGAGTTGACCAAACATGAAGGCAAGTTCACCCGATAAAATATACTTGGACTATTTGGACTGAAACAGCATGCATTTTTCTCATTAATACATGCTTGTGTAAAATCAACTTATATCATTTACATAAGCAAATCTGATACATATTTAGACCAGCTGAAGTGTTTTGTGTTCATACCCTGCTTATTAAGTGAATATATAAGCTACGCAGATAATTTGAATATGTCCAGGAAGGAAAAATAATGCTCAGCCTGTGGTTTATGTTCTCCCTTTGTATAACAACATCCCCTACGTTCCACAGTATCACAGGATGCAAATTTTGACATAAATAGAAGCTTTTACCTACCAAAGTGTTTAGGGAGAGTAAAGTTAGATTTCTATCAGTGCCTAACAGTATATTTGACTTTACATATATATATATGTATGTATATATATATACATATATATGTATATTATATTGTCATTATATGTGTGGGGAAAGGCATATTTAAACACATGCAAAATGATTTTAAAAAATTATGCCATGATATAATTTTGACTTATGAGAGGTCAATCAAAAGCTTAGAAAGTTAAACAATTCACTCGTTAATGGTGCTGAAAATGCGTTACAACCACCATATCCTGGCTACAACTTTGAGGTTTCTTTTCAGTTGAAGTTTTTACTAAGTGTGAACTATCAGTATCGATTCTGGTGCTAAATACGTGGTGCTAAATGAATTGTTAGTGTTAATAGTTTCAGTAATGCTCTTTTTATTCATTGTTAAAAGTGATAGCCATTCAATTCCTGATTCAGAAATATTAATAAAATCCTGTTAAATTAATGTTACCCAGAAATAGGCCAGTGAACTCTCTTTTTTGTGTAACAGTCCAACATTATCTAGATGTTACAGAATGTAAATATATTTCTTTAGAAGTTATCAAATTTCTTTTTTTAAGGCATTTTTTAGCGTGGCAATGTCCAAATTCAAGCATCACCTGAAGGTTACACCGACTATGCCACAGGCACTGGCGCCCTCTGGTGATTGTGAAAATAAATTTTTGGTGGCTGCTTGGCCGGCAAAAAAAGACGTTTCTTTTGTTAAAAAAAAATTTAAGTTCCTCAATATTGGAACTCTTGGGTACTCCTTAAATCTGACAGCATTTGAAAATGCTTGATTCTATTGACATCATTTTCAAAGAGGATAAGAGAGGGACTATATCTTGGCATCCACTTTCCTAAATAATAATTTTTTTTAATGAAAATTTATTTCTAAGGTGCTTATCGAAGTGTTTTTTTTTAACTAGGTATTACTAAAGTATATTTTTCATTTGGCTGACATCATAAATACAATTAGAATTAAAATTAGCAAACAGAATTATAAGTGTGTCTCCTTTTCAGAAGTGATTATTTTTATTCAACATAGTATGTAAGATTAAAAGGAGATATGTTAAAATAATTACTTTCATAAAAAAGGATTATCTCTCCATTTTTACCTGTTGGTCTAAAATTTGATAATGTTCTTTAGTCATACTATTTAGCTAATGATAAAATTGTATTATTCCATTCAAAGTCCTTCTAGCCTAACAAATGTACATAAAAACTTAGAATTATATCACTTGATATAACTAATGAAGACAAAATTCTTAGGCAAACTTCCAGTTGAGGTATGTCATTGACATTATGTGTAT